CTCATGATAATCCCATGCACAGCCGAACGAAATATCATCTGATCCTGCTCCATAACCCAATCTGTTGCACATCAGACTTTGTGATCCATAGGGTTTTCATTGGCTGATTTTAAGAAATAGACAACTTGGACTTTCTTCCATGTCAAATTTAGTCTAGAAGCTCTGCTGAAACCTGTTTGGCATCATGACAACACAAACCTCCACTGACAGATGGGGTGGTTGCATGTGATTTAGAATGTCCTAGAATTGAACTCAGACCTCACACATAGAAGCCACATATTCTAATTCTAACCCATCAATGCCTCATTGTCTGCATTTATAACCAGAAACATTTCCTTGAAAGATATGTAAGAAAAATTTATGGTAAGATGCTCTAGGAAAATTTATCTAAATTCATATGACACTTTCAGATTAAAAATAAATTTAGACAAAGCCGGATATCCATTATACTTCACCTGATTTCTTTCAGACCATGTTTTTGTTATGTTATTTGTTATTGTCATTAGTGCCCTTGAGTAGGTTCTGACTCATAGTGACTAGGGTTTCTGAGGAGCAGCTAGTGAATTTGAACTGCTGATGTTATGATTCAAATCAACCTTGTGATCTAGTGCATTATCCTGCAGTGCCACACAGGGACTCAGGTGCTATCAAGTTGGTTCTGACTCATAGTGACCCTCTCCACAAAAGAACAAAATACAGCTTCATCCTGTGACATCTTCACAACTATTATGTTTGAGCAATTTTGCTGCCCCTGCGTTAATCCATCTCTTTGAGGGTCTTCTATTTTACAGTGAAGTTTTACTTTACCATGCATGATATCTTTCTCTAGAGACTGATCCTGGCTGACAACATGTACAAAGAATGATAAATGAAATCTAGTCATCCTCACTTCTAAAGAGCATTTAGACAATATTTCTTTCAAGACAACTTTGTTTGTTCTTCTGCCAGGCAATGATATTTTTAAAATTATTCTGCAACATCAAAAGTCAAATGCATCCATTCATCTATGTTTATTCTAATTCATTGCCTAACTTTCACATACATATGTGGTGACCAAAAATGCCATGGCTTAAATAAGACACACCTTAGTCCTCAAAGTGACATCTTTGCTCTTTAACTCTTTAAAGATGTATTTGCATTAGAGTTGCCTAATGTAATACATTTTGATTTCTTGACTGCTGCTTCCCTGAGCATTGATATGGATCCAAGGAAAATGAAGTCTTTGACAAATCCTATCTCTTCTCCATTTATTATGGTATTGTTTTTTGGTCTCATTGTAAGGATTTTTGTTTTCTTTCCATTCAGGAGCAATCTATACTGTAGGCTGTAATTTTTTATCTTGATCAGTAAGAATTTTAAGTCCTTTTTGCTTTCAGCAGGCAAAGTTGTATCATCTGCATACTGCAGGTTGTTAATGAATCTTCCTCCTATTCTGACACCACATTCCTCTTCATATACTTCAGCTTCTCATTTTATTTGCTCAGCATATAGATTGCATTAGTATGGTGAAAGGATATAACACTTTTTTTTTAAGTCATTCAATATTCCCTTGTTTTGTTCTAAAAACTACCTCTTAGTCTATGCATAGGTTTCTCCTGAACACAGTTAATTGCTCCAGATACCCATTCTTTGCAATGGTATACATAGTTTCTTATGAATCACACAGTTGAAAGTCTTTTCATAATCAATAAAGCATGACAAAGCATCTTTCTGTACTCTCTGCTTTCAGTCAAGATCCATCTGATATCAGCAATGATATCCCTAGTTCCATATCCTCTTCTGAATCCAACTTGAATTTTTGGCAGCACCTTGAAGGTGTGCTGCAGTAACCATTTTTGTTTCCACATTCTGTTGAATCTCCTTTCTTTGTAATGTGCAGTTCAGTCAGTTAGCCAGGAAATTGTCTTCCAAATTTCTAGACATAGGTGAGTGAGTGACCCAGTGCTGCATCAGCTTATTGAAAGATTTCAATAAAAGTATTCTGTCAATTCCTGGAGTCTTGTTTTTCGCTAATGCATTCAGTGAAATTTGGACTTCTTCCTTTAATACTCTTGATTCTTGGTCATACGATAACTCTTGAAATGCTTGGTACAGTTTTATATTTGGTATAGTTATTCTGTGTATTGTTTCCATCTTTTTTTTTTTTTTTTTTTTGATGCTCTCTGCATCACTCAATTTTAAAATTAAAATATAGTATGTTTTCTGCAGTTCATTTTGAGAAATGCTGAGTGAGTTCTTCCCTTTAGTTTTCTAACTTCAGGTATTTACACATTTCATTATAATATTTGATATTATCTTTTTGAGACATCCTTTGAAACTTTGTGCTCATCTCTTGTGTCCATCTTCATTATTTCATTATATTCATTATAGTTACTTTATCCTCTGTTGCTCAAGAGCAAGTTTCAGTTTCTTCTGACATCTGTTTTGGCCTAGTCTTTCTTTCCTGTCTTTTAAATGACATTTTGCTATCTTCATTTATCATGTTCTTGATGTTATCCCACCAGTCTTCCAGTTTTCAATCATTGATGTCTCATGCATCAATTCTGTTCTTAAGATGGTCGCTATATTCAGATAGGAAATATTCAAGGTCCTCTTTTTGACTTTCATGGGCTTGTTTGCAGCTTCAACCTGAACTTGCATATGAGTAATTGATGTTTGGTTTATAGTTGGTGCCTGGCCTTATTATGGCTAATGATATTGAGCTTTTCTACTATCTCTTCCCAAAGACGTAGTTCATTTTGAATCCTGTGGTGAAGTCCATATATATAGTCACTGTATATGTTGTTGAAGAAAGGTATTTGAAATGAATAAGACATTTGTCTTCCAAAATTCTAGCATGTGATCTCCAGCATCTTATCTATCACCAAGGCCATATTTTCCAATTACTTGATCTTTCCTCTTTGTTTCTAATTTTCACATTCCAGTCACCAGTAACCATCAATGCATCTTGATTGCATGTTTGATCAATTTTCAATGGAAAAATTTGGTAGAATTCTTCTGTTTGGTCATCACTGACATTAATATTTAGACCCTAAATTTGGATAATAGTAGTATGAACTGGTCTTCCTTTTAAGTGTATGGATATTATATTACAGACAGCATTTTACACCAAGATAGACCTTTAAATACTCTTTTTGATGATGAATGTGGCACCATTCCTCTCCAACATAACATTTCTGGCATAGGAAACAATATGATTGTCAGATTAGAAATGGCAAATACCTATCCATTTCAGTTAACTAATGCCTAGGATATCCACCTTTATGTGTACTATTTTATTTTTGATGATTTCCCATTTCCCTAAGTTTCAAATTTTGTACATTCCATGTTCTATTAATGGATGTTTATGGCTATTTTTTTCCCATTTTGAGTTGTGCTCCATCATCTGATGAAGGCTACAAAGAGTTTGTTTTTTACATTTACATCCTTATGGTCCAGTCTGCTTTCCCCAAGTGTACTGTGAGTGTCTACTAACCTGAGAGGCCCATTTTCAGGTATTACACCACACAATATTCTCTGCTATTCAAAAAGTTTTCAATAGCTAACCATTCATACGTGGTCTGCCTTTCCTTCTTCCTGGTCTGTCTTAGTCTGAAAGCTCCATTTAAACCTGTCCACCGTGGGTGACCCTGTTGGTGTCTAAATTACTGGTGGAATAGCTTCCAGCATGACAGCAAACCACAGTTAAAAAAACAAACAAACAACAACAACAAAAAACTGACAGAAGAGTGGAGGATGTAGGCCATGAGTATGAACATTTAAGATTAGTTTCACAGTTAACAAATTGTTCAAGTTTTGTTTTGTGTTTTAAAGAGCTAAACTACAACTTTACAACAAGTAGGCTTCAGATTTTGATGAAAGAGTGAAGTATGATAAGGGTTATTGTTCAATAATTATAGAATTTAAACAGCAACCTCCTGAGTTTATTGGTTGGAGGACTCACAACATAAATTCTTTATCATTATTACAAGCTATTTTCAGACATATGGTTGAATAAAATGATGTTTTTCTTCCAAAGTCAGCTTATTGGTTTTATTGATTCTCTTCTATTTCAATTTTACATGTGGGTGTGGGAGAAGTTTATTTCTTTAATAACAAATTGTTTCTTCTACCAAAAAAGTTTTCTGTTTCATTTTACCTTAAATGCACTTCGAATTTGCTTCTAACATGCTTATTCTCTCAGTTTGGAGTTGGTTTTGTGTATAAGAAACCATTTCTTGTCTAGAAATAGTGTACTGTGAAAAGATTTGTGTGTAGGTATAATAATATCCTAGTAAAGCGTTCATCCAAATTAAGTGGAATGGTAAAGATCTTCTGATCATGATTTAAGTAGAGTCTGGTGAACTGAGATGGAGTGCAAACGTATGAACTTCTGTATTTGTGTTCCCACATTTCTCTGATTGCAACATAATGCTCTGCTACTCACTTATACTGATGCCTTTACAGGTTACATTCTAGAATTTATGTGTAAAATTGTAGAAAAGAGAGAAACATTTAGGGAACAGTGATGTGTTGCATTGTACAAAATCATACTGAAACTGCATATATAAAATCAGTGTTTTTCATATACTTTATAAATTATAATTTATTTTAGTTTTAGTGAAAATGTAGGTAAACAATAATGTACCAATTCAATAATATTTCTATATGCACAATTCAGTAATATTGGTTACATTCAATAAAAACACACCATTTTCTTGGTGTACAATTTAGAGATATCTACTCTGGTGTGGTGCTGTGGATTAATGTGCCAGACTGTAAAGCCATTTGAACTGCAAAGTCGGCAGTTCAAGCTCACCAGCTGCTCCTCGGAAACCCTATACAGGGTTGCTATGGGTCGGAACTGACACAACGGCACTTCACAACACCACAAACCAAACTTGCTTAGTTGTGCAACAATCACCAATAATTAATGCCGATTTCTCTATTCTCATAAACAAAAACATAAAAACTTCACAGAGAATGATTCCTTTCCTCTTCCCTCCTTAAGTAACTACTAGTAGACATTGACCTGTATGTATTCATTTATTCTTGTCTTTTGGTATATAGTTATTGTTAGATGCCATTGAGTCAGTTTCAACTCATAACAAGCCTATGTACAACAGAACAAAATACTTCCCAGTCTTGTGCCATCCTCACAATTGTTATACTTGAGCCTATTGATACTGCCACTGTGCCATTCTCCTCTTTTGCTGAACTTCAAATTTGCCAAGCATGATGTCCTGCTCTAGGTCCTGTTACATCTAACAACATGTTCAAAGTATGAGAGATGAAGTCTTGCCATCTTCACCTCTAAGGAGCACTCTGACTGCACTTCTTTCAGTACAGATTTGTTCTTCTGACTGTTCACGGTACTTTCAATATTTTCCATCAATATAATACAAATATATTAATTCTTTCATGGTTTTTCTTATTTATTGTCCAATTTCATATCCATATGTTGTTGTCGTTAGGTACCATTGAGTTGGTACCTACTCATAGCAACCCTATGCACAACAGAACGAAACACTACCTGATCCTGGGCCAACCTCACTACTGTTGCCACGCTTGAGTCCATATGAGACTATGGAAAATACCATGTCTTGGGTATTTGAGGAAGGTACACCTTCTTCAAACTGCCTTGTGCAGCAGATTTGCCTAGTACAAGTAGTCCTTAGATTTCTTGAGTGCTGCTTCCACGAATGTTGATTGTGGATACAAGCAAAATGAAGTATTTCACCACTTTAATCATTTCTCCATTTATCATGATGCTATTTATTGGTACAGTTGTGAGGATTTTTGTTTTATTTACGTAGAGGTGCAATATATATTGAAGGCTGTAGTCTTTGATCTTCATCAATAAGTATTTTAATATAATAAGTATTTAAGCAAGCAAGATAGTATCAGCTGCATATTACAGGGATTAATGAGTCTTCCTTCAATCCTGAAGCCACACTCTATTTCATACACCGCAGCACCTCAGAATATTTTTTCACATACAAATTGAATATGTACGGTGAAAGCATACAACCCTGGCATGGTCGTTCCTGATTTTAAAGCATTCAGCATTCCCTTATTCTGTTCAAACCACTGCCTCTTGGTCTATGTACAGTTTCCCCATGAACACAATTAAGTGTCTGGAATACCCATTCTTCACAATGTTATCCACATTCTGACCCATGTCGTCAGAAGCCTTGCACAGTCAATAAAACACAAGTAAACATTTCTAATGTTTTCTGCTTTCATCCAAGATCTATATGCCATTAACAATGGCATCCCAATCTCCACATCCTCTTCTGAATCTGACTTGAATTCTTGGCAGTTCTCTGTTGATGTATTGTTGCAGCCATTTTTTAATTATCTTAAGCAAAATTTATTTGCATGTAATATTAGAGATGGAGTCCTGGTGTGGCTCTCTGGGTTAATATGCCAAACTGCAAAGCCATTTGAACTTCAAGGTTGGAAGTTCAAGCTCACCAACTGCTCTTTGGTAACACTATACAGGGTTGCTATGGGTCAGAAATGACTCAATAGCACTTAACAACAACAACAACAATGTTAGAGATATTGTTTGATGATTTCTACATTCCATTGGATCACCTCTCTTTTGAATGGGTATCAATATAAATCTTTTCCAATCAGTTGATCAGGTAGTGGTCTTCCAAATTTCTAAACAAAAATGAGTGAGCACTTCCAGTGTTGCATCATGTTGAAAGATTTCAATTTGTATTCTGTCAATTCCTGGAGCCTTGCTTTCGCCAATGCCTTCAGTGCAGTTTGGGCTTATTTCTTTATTACCATTAGTTCTTCATCATATGCTATATCTAGAATGTATCATTTGATACAGTGACCCTTGTAGTCATTTCAACTTCTTTTGATTCATTTTGTATCATTCAATATTTTGCTTATATAATCCTTCATTATTGTAATATCAAACTTTTCCTATAGTTCTCGTAGCTTGAAAAATTCTGAGCATGATCTCTCCTTTTGGTTTTCTAATTCCATGTCTTTACACATTTATTATAATACTTGACTTTGTCTTCCTGAGCTGCCTTTTGTAATTTTCTACTCAGCTCTGATTTCCTCATTTCTTCCATTCACTTTAGCATCTTCAATCTGGAGAGTGAATTTCAGAATCTCTCCTGATATCCATTTTGGTCTTTTCTTTATTGCCTGTCTTTTTAATGGCATTTTTTCTTTCTTCCTGAATGATGTTCTTGATATCATCCACAGCTCTTCTTTGACTTTTTATGTATGTGCAGTCAACACAGTATTTTTTATATTGTGATAGACTTGTTTCATTCAGTATATCATCTATGAAATCCATCTATGCTGCATCATGTATTGAAACTTCATTTTTCTTTCTTTATGAATAGTATCCCATTGCTTGCATGTAGAAATTTTGTTTATCCATTCATCTGTTGATAAGCAGATTGTTTCCACTTTTCTGCTATTTTAAATAATGTGTCAGCAAGCATAGATGGTTATATGCCTGTTTGTGTTGCTACTCTTAGGTCTCTAGGGTATATTCCAAGAAGGAGTATTGAGGAGTAACATGTTAGTTCAATTTTATTTTATTTTTATATACTTCCGTACTGTTTTTTACAATGGTTGTGCCATTTTACATTCCCACCAACAATGAGTAAGTATTAATGAGTAAGTGTTCTGATGTCCCCAATCATTGCTGACATATGTTATTTTCTGCCTTTATTTTTTAAAATAACTTCCATTTTAGTAGGGGTGGGTTGGTATATCATTTTAGTTTTGATTTATAGTTCTCTAATCATTAATGATCTTGTGATGCTTCCTGCATCATTTAATATTCAACACACAGATTCACTTTACCAAAAAAGGATTGGTTGACTTTCAACCATTTCAAGAGGTAGTATATGATCAAGAGCCACGATCCAATCTCCAATGAAAGGATTAGCAAAGAACACAGCTCTTGAAATTGACAAAACATAAATTGCCATACTTCAAAAAACTGATGCAATACTGAGAGCACTCACAAGTCCAAGCCAAGAAATTTGGATGAGAGCTAACTGGGCACCTGACTGGAATATATCCATATTTCTGTCCATTCAGAAGAAAGGTAATCCAACAGAATGTTGAAATTATCAAACAACATCATTAATAAGACATATAAGTAAAATTTTACTGAATATAATTTAAAAATTATTATATCAGTACATAGACAAGGAGCTGCCAGAAACTCAAGCCAGATTCAGAAGAAGAACTGGAACTAGAAATAGTGTGGATATCAGATAGAGCTTAACTAAAACCAAAAGGAAATGGTTAATGTTCAACCATTTCAAGAGATACCATATGAA